GAGGCTCCAAAACAATAAATAAATGAAATAAAATTGAATCTCTAAGGTCCTGATTTCTAATAGCACTCAGAATTTTGATGCTGCTGGTCAATCTATAACACTCAGTAATACTATACTGTAAGAGAGTGTTGAGTGAAGCAGTATTATGAATGACTTATTTATTACACGAGTACAACCATTACTTTCTTTAATATAAGAATGTAGGTTAACAAATACGCACCCCATTGCAGGGCAGTTTTGGGATACTGAGAGAAGTTGTAAAGTACATCTGGTAACAGGATCTAGAATCACTACCCTCGGGCAGGATTTCCTCAACTTTTTCTGTTCCTCACCTCTTTTTGACTGAAGATTGCTACTGATATTGGCTATGGAAAAAGGTGCACGAATAAAATATTTATTAATAAAACTAAGTCAAATTTACTTTAAAACAAACTTCTGCAACACTCCCTACCTCCACTCCACATTCAATTACCTAACTGACACCCACACAGAGATTAAGAAATTAGACCCTAGGGAACAGAGATTGGTACAGAGACTAAGGCACTTGCCTTGAATGCAGCTGACCATGGTTTGATCTCTAACACCAAGGATGTTCCTCCATGCACTACCAGCTGTGATCCCTTAGCATCACCGGGTATGGCGCCAAAACAAAACAAAACAAAACAAAAAACAAACAGACCCCAAAAAAGCCACGCACACCTATAAAAGTAAAGAGATACAAGACTAACTCCAGAACACTTTTCAAACAAGCAAACAACTGACAACAACCAATATGATCAGCTGACACCTGACAACAGTCATACAACTAAACACACACTATAGAGTAGTAAAAATAAACTTAGCTACCTGTATAAACATAAACAAATCTTGGCAAGTTGGAAGAAAGCAAGCTATAAATTAAGATATATATATACATATGTATATGTATTTATAGGGTCTTCCAACAAAGCAAAACTATATAATGCTCATAAACACAAGACTAGGAAGGATATATGTCAATTTGGGGGTAAACTGGATAGAGCAAATAGGATTTAAGAGGTGACAAAGTACTGAGGAAACTATTTTATAGTTCTATTTCTTCAGCAGGTCATAGTACATGAATATTCTATATGGTGTACGTTGCCGAGATTTACAATGCTATTATTTTTTTCTTATTTCAACCACAATAGCAAAATCTGCCTGGTCTATCTAAGTATTTTCAGAACATTATTCAAAAGCAAAGGATTCAGGACTGGATATCAAAAGATACTTCGAGGGACTGTCCTTACTTCATCTGAAAAGTGACTTAGGACATCAGTTTCCCTCTTCCAACTCACAAAGCTCCTTTGAGAGGCAAATAAGACAAAGCGTGTGAGAATGTTTTACAGGGTAGTAAAACCAGGAGCAGAATTTTCTGGGAGTTAAGTGCAAACCCTTGAATGTATTAGAAATGAAAGCTTCCCGTAAGGAAACAATCAAGTGTCCAGAGAGATAGCTCAAAGGGTAGAGCACATGTTCTCTGCATACAGGCGGCCTGGGTTTGATCCCAGCACCACAGTCCTAGGAGCGCCCCCAAAAACAAGATCAAAAATGAAAAATAAAGAAAACCAATCAAGGTGATCTGCCACTCTATTCAAATGCCATCACTGATTGTAGAAATACCACCCCGATCAAAACACAGGAGAAAGCTGAAGTTTACCAAATCCTATGAGCTATCAATTTCCTATTTTGTTTCTGTAGTTAATTCTTCACTAAAGGCACTGAAATTCGTATTATTATTATAAAATAAGAGAATTGCACTAAAAATCACTGATAACGAAGGCAATGTCACATAAGCAGAGTAACTGTTGGTTCTCACTGGCCTTTCTAAAAAGTGAGCAGGTGGCATATTTTATTAGCCCTGGTTTACAGATGGAGAAACTGACTCAGATGTGGGTTAGCTTGCCTGGAGTTGTAGAACGATTCAGTGACAGAACTTGGAATAGACACTAATTGCCTAACTCTTGCGCGTTCATTAAGCTACCAAAAACATTATTTTGCCACGATGCTTCATGCGATTTCTGCTTGTCACAGGAAATAGAAAATTCTTTTTTTAGGTGACGTTTCATACAAACTTCATTCAAAACGGGCAAAGGTATTCAAGGAAACAAGCCACTAACTACAGCATACACAGCATGGAGCAAAATTAAACAGCCTGGCCAGCGAAAAATTTAACCCCATCCCTGCCACTCAACCTTATGAATACTAGAGTAAAAGTCAAAATAAGGGCAAGGGTGCTATTCACTACCGGATTTTCTTTTGATTAGTTGAAACAGAAGTAGTTGTGCACCATTCTACGGCTCCTACCTCCAAAATAAAACTTCACCAACAAGCAGAGTGGTGCAGCCCCAAATTAGCAGAATGGCAATCATGATAATTAGCAAAATTATCGGTCTACGATTAGACATTCGGTGTCAGCCACATAAACTTTATCACGTACATAGAAACAAATTCTTCGTGGACAAAAAAAAAAAAAAAAAAGTCGATTTTCTTAATGGTCTCCCAGCTCATGTAAAACAGATGACAGGCTCGGATTCATTCGTTTCGAATGCTGACACCGATCCCGAAAAATTCTCATTGGAGCCTTTAAAGAGGATCAATAAGATCAGACTGTGAATCACAGATATTATATAATAGAAATAGCTTTTCATCAGCAGCTGAAATGTAAAGGTCACCCCTTTTGGACTCGGTTATGTTATCATTTTGCTTACCAAACCCAAAGACTGAGAGCATCTTCGAAACACACACACACACACACACACACACACACACACACACACCCTCTCAAAGCCCATGCCCCTGGGATTGGCAGACTTGGGATCAAGCCCAAACCATGTCTTTTCTCAAAAAAAAAAAAAAAAAAAAAAAAAAAAAAGCCGGGAATCGAACTCCCAGTTCTTGGTACAATCCAACTTCATAGAACTTTTGTGTGTGTGTGTGTGTGTGTGTGTGTGTGTGTGTGTTTAAAAATATATATATATATCCAACCGAAAGGGAATATATAGGGGGTCGAAAACAAATCTTAATTTTCCTACTGGGAGAAACCATCCCCGATCAAGCTCCCCCCTCCCCGTGGGCAAACAAACAGGTTCTCGAGATTCCAAGTTCAGTCTCCGCAGCCAGATCCAAAAAAGAAAAAAAAAAAGAAAAAAAAATAGAAAAAAAAAAAAAGAAGCCGATCGATCGGGAATACACAACCCCGAGCAACCACACCACGCACGGGCTGCAGGTGGCATCTCCGACCGAGGCGGGCACGCGAGGAGGGGGCACCGCGGAGCTCCCAGGAGCAGGCACGGCTGGGGGGGGGTGGGGGGAGGTGCCCCTGCCAACGCCCCCCACCCCAACCCAACCCACCCCACCCCACCCCACCCCAGCCAGCCCAGCCAGCCCGGCTTCTCGGGGGGGGGGGGTCCAGCGCGGTGCAAAAAAAAGCCTCGAGAGCGACCCCCACCCCACCCCACCCCACCCCCCTTCCCTGCAAAGGACCCGTCCGTCCGTCCGCCGGCTCGTCCCTCGGCGCCCCTCCCCACACCAGCCCACCCGCGACGCCCCCGATTCCCATCGGGCTCCTCGGCGGACCCCCGGGCGGCGGATCGTCGCTGGGCCCGAGCCCCCCGAGCCCCCCGAGCGCCCGCCGCCCTCCCCCGGGGCGCCCGGAGGGATCCCGGTCGCCAACAACAAAGACGCCTCCCGCGAGCTCCCCTCCCCCCACCCGGCTCGGGGCCCGTCCCCGGCGCGCTGCGGCGGCTGCCGGCCTCGCGCCCCCCGCCCGGGACCCCCACGCCCACGCCCACGCCGACTCATCACGCACCTGCACCGGGCGAGGGGGGCCCCGCGCTGGCGGCGGGAGGCACCGAAGGGCACGGAGCAGAGAACGGCGGCCGCCGCGTCGTCCTGGGCGAGGGGCGAGCCGCGCGGCCGCCGCCGCCGCCCCGGGGAACTCGCCCGACCACCTGCGGGCGCGGGACGGGCCGCGGCGGGCACGAGGGTCTTGCAGCCCCCCGGCGGCGCCCGGGCCGGCTGGAGCGCGCACGCCCGGCTCTCGCCTCCCTGCTCGCCTCGCCCCGGCCCGGCGCGGCCACCAGCGCTCGCGTTCTGCTGACTAACGGCTCCGGCGCCGGGCGCTGGAGCGGCTGGAGCCGCCGCCGCCGCCGCCGGGCTCGGCTGCTCTCGGGCCTCGGGTCCCGCGCGGCCGTGGTCGCAGCCCCCGGCCGCTGCCGCCTCCCGGGCCGGGCTCCGCGCAGACGGGCACCGCCGAGACCCGGGCCAGGTCTTTCTTCTCCTGCAAGCCTCCCGGCCGGACGCCCCTCCTCGTGTGCCCGGCCGCCGGCGGGTGGGGGGCTGGCTCTCGCGGCGGGATGCAGGCGCGCAGCTGGGGGGCGGGGGGGAGGAGGGGAAATCGAGGGAGCACCCAGCAGCACCCAGGAGTTGGGCACCGACTGGACCCGAGTCCCCGAGCTGACCCGGGCTCCCCAGCCTGCGAGCGGGCCGAGGGGCGGGGCGCCTGGCAGCTTAGCCGCCCTCCGCCAATCAGAAGGCGCCCAGCCGAGCGGGCTCCGCGAGAGGCTGAGCCCCGTCGGCAGGAGGCGGGGACTGCGGAAAAGGAGAGCCAATGGGAGCGAGGCTCCCCGCCCCTTCGCCTCGCTGGACCGCCACGTTCCGGCCGTTGGGGGGGGCGGGGGATAAAAAGGAAAAAGGAAAAAAAAGAAAAAAGAAATTCTCGGTTCGGAGAAAGCGGGACTTCGACGCCCCGCGGAGGGGGGAAAAAAAAAAGAAAGAGAGACAGAGAGGCTGCGCGGAGGGGGAGGGGTCGAGAGCGTGCACGAGCCGCGCCGGCCGAAGGGGCCCCGGGCCCCGCCGCAGCGAGTCACGTGGGCAGGCGGGGGCGGGGTCGGGAAGGTCGCCGCGGTTCCTTCCGGGTCACGGACACGCTTCGCTCCGCCGCTCCGTGGGGGTGAAGTGCCTGGTCTCCGGGGCCCGTGTCTGGTGGTGCTGGTGGTCGTCGTGGTGGCGGCGGCGGGCGATGAGCTCCCAGAAAGGGAACGTGGCGCGTTGCCGGCCCCAGAAGCACCAGAACACGTTTAGCTTCCAAAATGACAAGTTTGATAAGAGTGTGCAGACCAAGGTAGGAATCTCTGGCCTGTTGCACCCGCCCGCCCGCCCGCTCGCTCGCTCCGGACTCCAGGAAGGAAGGGAGGAAGAAAGGAAGGAAGGAGGAAGGGGTCAGTGGAGGGGAAAAGGAAATGCGAGGAGGAAGGCGAGGGCGAGTGAGTGTGGGCCGGAGCCCAGAGGGAGTCTGGCTTGGCAGAGGCGCAGCCCTCGCGAAAGTCATGTTCCCACGCCCTCGCTCCGACCTGGACGCGCGTGTGTCTGCTCGCGGAGCGCGTGCAAGGGACCCTCCGCAGCCAGCAGCGGCCCAGGATGCACAGTGGGTCCATCCTGTCCACTTCCCGTCTGGATCCCACATTATTTTGCCCCAGGAAGAACTCGGAGCGGGACACAGGTGTCTTGCACAGATTTTTGTGCCAGGTTTATGCAATGACTCTTTTCTTTCTTTTAATTAGTGAAACACCATGAGGTACAGTCATAGACGTACAAATTTTTGTGCTTGGGTTTCAGTTATACAATGGTCAAGTACCCATCCCTCCACCAGTGCCCGTTTTCCACCACCATGGATAATATCCCTCCCACCCCCATCCCCCCATCCCCCTGTCTCTGTGGCAGGGCAATCCCCTGTGTTCTCTCTCTCCTTTTGGGTGTTGTGGTCTGCAAAAGAGGCATTGAGTGGCAATCATGTTTGGTCTATAGACTACTTTTAGCACGTCTCTCCCACCCTGGGAGGATCCTCCCAACACCCTTTATTTGGTGCTCTCTTCTCTATCTGAGCTTCCTTTTCACCTAGCACATGTGGCTGGCCTCCAAGTCCTGGAGCAAAATTCCTGGTACTAATCTCGGCCATTCCTGGGTGTTAATGACTCTTTTCTTAAAAAAAAAAAAAAACAAAAAAACAAAAAAACCACAAGCTCCTGGGGCTGGAGCGATAGCACCCCGGGGAGGGCGTTTGCCTTGCCACACATCTGACCCGGGTTTGATTCCCAGCATCCCATAGGGTCCCCCCAGAGCACCGCCAGGAGTCATTCCTGAGTGAATCATGAGCCAGGAGGAACCCCTGAGCATTGCTGGGTGTGACCCAAAAAGCAAAAAAACAAAAAGCAAAAAATAAAAAAAAATAACAAACACCACAAGCTCCTAGGTGGGTTGGCTTCATCAAATCAAACAGAACTAAATTTCTGTTTTGATTTAAAGATTGCAGGATCAGGTTTGATTCATGTAAACCTGCCCTTTTATTTGGTTGTATTTTTTGTCATTTTGCTTTGGCGGTATTTTTGTAAATACGGGAAGATAGGAGCTCTTCAGTTTCACGTAGCGTCTACATGTGCTGTTACAATCCCCCGCCTGCTCTCATGACTGTAGGGAGATAGTTGAAGACAAAGACGTCAGGGGGGCTACAGTCACAGCAGATAAACCTGATGTGCACGTAAGCTGGAGTTAAAGTTTACTCGGTGTGGGAGAACTTTCCCAAGTCCGTGCCTTGATCACGGTTAAACCTGAATAAAAAGGCCGTGCTGTTGCAAATAGATGTCTGTGTCTATCCTGTTTTCTTACTCTCGTGTCTTTGCGAAACTTTTGCAATCTTGTCTTTGCAAGGTTGTCTTTCATAGAATGATAAAAATCACTTTCGGAAACTTCCAGCTCCAGCGTAGCTCATTGCACTTGCACTTTTAAGCTCCCATCTTTTGAGGTTACCACTTCTTGCTGTGGTATTTCTTCTTAGTCTTGAGCTTTTTCTTGTGCATTTTATTGATGCTATCTGTGCTGGGGATAAAACCAGGGTGGAACAGCATGCACACAAGATCAGTGTGATCTCGGATGTGTTCTTGGGTCTTAAGTCCAGTCACTTTTGGCACTTTTTTTGTTTGTTTGTTTTGGGGCCATACCCGGTGATGCTCAGGGGTTCCTGACCCTGCTGCACTACTTATGGAGGTGCTCTGGGGACCATATGGAATGCTTGGGATAAAACCTGGGTCTGCATGGGCAAGGCAAGTGCCATACCTGCTGTACTATTTTTCCTGTCCCAGTTTTGCCACTTTTGAAACAGGAGAAATCTCATTTATTGGTACAGTTTCCACCTTTATTCTTGGAAGTTCTGGCAAAAGCACCCAGGAATATTTTGATGAAGAAAAAATATTAGGCTGCTTATTCATATAATGAATAACCAATCATGGGCAGTCTTCATAGCAGGTTATTGAACTAGTTACCTGCAGTTCTCAAAGGCCAACATGTCCAAAGTTTATCAGAACTATTTTGTTTTGTTTGTTTGTTTGTTTGTTTGGGGGGCCACACTCAGCAGTGCTCAGGGCTTACCCTGCCTTCATTTTCTGGGATCACTCCTTAACTGTGCTGGGGGATCAGACCTGTGTCAGCCACGACCAAGGCAAGCACCCTTCGGGCTGCTGTCCATCCCCAGCTCCAGTTTGTCAGAACTTTATTGAAATCCAAATCGGATCATGACAGACGTTTCATCGAGAAGTTTTTCTAGGGAAAGCACCCGTTCCCAAAAGGAAACAGGTGTTAGCTTGTGTGAGTCATTTTGGTGTGAGTAATGAAGTGGCAGTCATGGGAATATTTTGTTTCTCAATCGATGGGTGTCAGCAGGGAAGGGTTAAACAAGTAGGTGGCCCTAGAACAAATCGGTCGTTGGGCAGATCTATAATTGACTCTGATTTCCAGTTAACCATCTCTGGTTCTCAAGAGATCACCTGAGACTTCCTTTGATCTTTTATCCAACATTTGGAAGTTTTCCTGGGCTGTACTCTGCTATATTTTAACGATGCTGTCTATTAAATGGATTTATGTTAACTATCTCTCTCCAACCCCTCATTTATTTACTATAAAACGTAATGGGGTTGGAGTTGTCATACATTTGGTAAGGCACTTATCTGCCTCGCGTTTAGCCAATCGAAGTTTGATCCCTGGCACCTCATATGGTCCCCTGGGCCCACCAAAAGTGATCCCTAACCGTAGAACTAGAAGTAAGCCCTAAGTATCGCCGGATGTGAACCCCTCACCCTCTCAAAAAAAAGAAAAATTAACGGTACTTTTTTTCAATTGACAAGGTGAGGTAACTTGAATCTCTTGTTTGCTGGACATCATGGTATGCATAAGAATATTTACACTTGTCCCGGAGAGATAACACAGGAGTCCAGAATAATTACTTTACATGTGGGCAACCCAGATTCGATTCACAACATTCCCTATGTTCCTTAAACCCATGCCCAAACCCATGGGTTCCCTAAACCCGTGTTCCCTAAACTCAACCTCTGTGAGGAGTGATCCCTGTACACAGAGCCAGGATTAATTCCCGAGCACAGTCGGGGGCCCAACCCCCAACCCTAGCCTGAACCTCCCCAAAATAATAATGGTAGTTAAGCTTTTTCTTTTTTTTCTCCCTGGTTTTTATTGAGGCAGTTTTTTTTTCTTTTTTAAATACTGTTAGTGATAGAGTTTGAAACGTACAAGTGTCAGCACCCAACCTACCAGCGGTGTCTGCTTCCCACCAGCAGTGTTCCAAGGACCCCTCCCACTGGGTAAACTCAGTTCTGGAACCAATTCAGATTTTGTTGCCTTGGACCATTTATTAGTCCCTTGCTCTGTTCTTTTTATCCCGCATATAAGAGAGATCAAACTTAAATTTTATAGTATTTTCAGATATTTTCTTGATTATTATTTATCTTTTACTTTCTCTCCCTTTCACATGAAAAATAATTTCATGTGAAATGTTTGGGGATGTTTGGGGATAATTCCCAATTACCAGCATTCTCAAGATGATATAACTCGAAACCTCTAAAATGATAACATGTTTCTTAATATTGAGGCCTACTCAATAGTAACTGTTTCCTTCGAAACCATTCCCGTATTTTCATTGGTGACTGAAATGAATTTGTCTTGATGGCATCTCTTAGGCTACTCCTGCTAAGTGGTAGGGTACTCATCGTTGAATTATGAAAAGTTTGTAACTGTCAACACTTACTTCAACAGAAAGTTCAAGAACATGGTTAGAAATAAAAGACTTCTCTGATACTCTCCGATCATTTCATCAGAGAGAAGGAAAGTCATGGTTTATGTTCTCTCCTCCCCCAAATGGGTCATTTCCCATTTCGAGAAACACGGGTATGGAGTGGCGCTGTTGGACACAGAACCTCAGGGCTGAGCGCTCCAGGCTGCAGTGGCAGCATTTGTTATTTTAAGCTGGAGGACTCTTTCCACACCTGCACATGTGTTTGGTGGGGTCACAGACAGGTGTACAGAGGCCCCTGCTTGTCCCCAGAACAGCCCTGATGCCCTCTCATGCCATCCTTCTGGGTGCTCTTTCTCACCATTGACTTTGGTGAAAGGAAGAAATGCAGTGAAGAGGGGGAGAAAGAGATAGCCCACACACCGTAGATTCTATTCCAAGATTTTTCTTAGCCCTTAAAAGCCAAATAGCACTTAGACATATTGAATGCATTATATGTGCATTCCTTTTCTGAACTTGTCTGATGTGTGCAAAGCAAGGCCGCCTTCATGAAGGGAACTATCACTCGGATTCTTTAGTTGCTCTCTTAGGAAGAAAAGGGCTTTGGGGGGAAGATACTGCAGTGCTCTTAGGAAGGATATACAGAGTGTTTTATTGGCGGGGGCACCCCCTTTCATACCCAGAGGTCATTCTTAGTGACCTCTGGCAGTGCTTGGAGAACCATGTGGAGTACTAGGTATTCCAACCCGGGTTAACCACATGCAAGGCAGAGCCTTACCTGCTCTATTATCTCTGGCCCTGAAGTGTTTGTTCTTTTGGTTGGACTTTTAGTGTCCCAGATTCCCAGATTAGCCATTGTTACTGGCAAATCTCTCCCTCATTTGGCTTTGTTAATCTCCTTCCCCGAGGCAGCCCCCAATTTTTCATTGTACCTTCTCCAGTCTTTTTGATGTCCCGCCTGTAATTTGTAGTTTATTGTGATCCTATGAAGACATACTGCTGCAAAATAATTTTTTTCTCTTTCTTGTCATATCTGAAAACTTATCTGG